TATGCATGAAAATATATAACATATGCATATATTTTCCCTCCTTTTAGTGCATTGCAAGGAATGGCAGTCTTTTGAATTTTGTCTGCCTTTGAGTTTCTTCCTGGTGAACACATAGAGACATGTGGAATCAGGTCTTTAAGTTAATTGAGGAGACCGAATTATTTAGGGGAATTTTCTAGGAATTGTTAATGTTAAAAATCATATGTTCCATTATTCATAGGCTGTAGACTTCCATGTGGTACAATAAATTTCTTTAACATTTCAAATCTATAAATTTTGATCATTTATGCATTCATTTTTCTTTTTCAATTATCCTTGTTTTTATCAAGGTTTTTGCAGTGCTTCCATGTTGCTTTTCAATCGTTTTGTTGATGAAATTTATCTAGTGCAATGCACATGGTATAAGTTCATACATCAATAAAATATTTACAAGTGTATGCACACCCATTTAACCAGCATGTCAATCAAGGTATCCAATATTTCTATCATGCCACCAAACTTTCATTACCCCACCCCAACCCCAAAGTATGGAACCTATGCCTCTTCTTTAAGGGGATTTTTAAAAAGTCATATTGAGTTGACATCTCAGAAAGTTTTCTACTTGCATTACACACCACTCCTTTTAAAAAAATATCTTACTTCATTATTTACTCTTATTAGTAGAGTGATAGTTGTGGACAAAATGGGAGGGTCTACAAATGGCAGAAGCCCTAGTCATGTGAACTCAGAGAGGCAAGGTTCTCCATCCAGGGAATATGAAGGCATTTTCTCCAAGGGAAGCCTGTCCTTTGAAGTGAAGGGAGAATAGTGACAATTCTGTCAAGGATGGAGATAGAAGGGATTGGTCAAGACCTGAGAGAGTTTCAAAAAAAGACTACTAGACAGGGTTCGAGGTTCTTATTTGGGGAGATTAAAGTTGAAAGGTGGCACTAGACTTCGCACATGCCATTCCTCCTAACTGAAATCATATTTCAGTTGTGAATTCAAATGTCTTTCTTCAGGAAAAGTTCCTACATTTCTAAAAACTATATTACAAGTTCTTATAGCACCATGTAACTTTTCTTCATATCACTTCTCATAATAATGATTTTACGTTAGTTTTGCACATATTTGAGTGATGCCTGTCTCCTCCCTTGAATCCTAATCTCCATATAGAGACCAGGTTTTAGTTTTTTTTCTTCTTCTTCTCATTATTCTATCCACAATGCCTAGCATGGTACCTGGCACATAATAGATTCTTAATAATAGACTTGTTGATTGACTAAATGATTTATTGAATGAATGAATGAGAAAGAATTATCATATGGGACCATATAGCTCTCTCTCCTCTTCTGGTAGAATTTTACACAAGATCAGTTTGTGGGACTACTGTAAAAAATTCCCCCTAGGCAAGAGCCAAAATACGGGATAATGGGGGACAGAGTTAGCAACTCAGATACCTAGAATTGTATATATGGTAGAGCCAGTTGACACTGGAGGAGATAATAGAGTTTATAAAGAGCTGAGACAATTTTCCAGGGGTTTCTTTGATATTGCAGTTATTTTACTCAAGTGGAAATGTCTTAACATATGCCAAAACTCACACATAAATATGAACTCACACATCAATTCTTACAGTCTTTTCAGCATTATTATTATTATTATTATTATTATTTTTTTTTTTTGAGTTGGAGTCTCACTCTGTCGCCCAGACTGGAGTGCAGTGGCTGCTCCCTGCCACTGCAGCCTCAACCTGCTGGGCTCCGGCGATCCTTCTGCCTCAGCATTTGGAATAGCCGGAATTACAGGTGTGCACTACCACACCCGGCTAATTTTTTTTTTTATTTATTGTAGAGATGAGGTCTCGCCTGCCCAGGCGGGTCCCAAACTGGCGGGCTCAGGCAATCCACTCACCTCAGCCTCCCAAAGTCATGGGATTACAGGCTGAGCTACCGAGCCCGGCTTACAGCATTATTCAAGTAAAAGATTTTCTCTTTTCTGATTTATCCTAAAGTAGGAAATTGACTAGCTCTGCCTTGAGGAGAAGTGATGGAAACTCTTTAGTAAATTGAAAAGTTTCTGGTCACCATCCCATCTCCTGTTCTCACCAATCTCCTTTTTCCACGTCCCTTTTCTTTGCTTCTCTCCTCTTCTCATAGGAATATCCTTAACTGTCCACCCCTGCTCAACTCTAAAGGCTGTCTACAGATGACTGGTCAATTACTACTATCACAGTATCTTGGAAAACTGTTAAGAATTAGAACAACATTTTGTTTCTATGTATGTAGGAATGTGTTGGAATTTGTGAGGGAATGCTGGTGTAGTTAAAGAAAAGTCAGGAGAAGCTGGCCTGGTTCACCTCTCTGACCTACCTGTACGGAGGCAGAGAACAGAGAGTTTTTTAAAATGTAATTTTGGACTTGATCAGGACTGGAATATCAGGAACAATTAAAATCAGGACCATATCTGAGGAGGAGGCAAAGCAACTTCTCATACCCAGAAAGATGAAGACCATATAATGCTCCAACAGAAAATCAGGGAAGTGGGCTGTGTCCCAAGTAGGTAAAGAAGAATCTCAATTCATCAGTTATTTTTCAATCTTTACTGAGTCCTTAGTTTTCTATTGCTGCATAACAAATTATCACCAACTTTAAGGGGTTAAAATCTATTATCTCACAGTTTCTGTAAATTGGAATTCTAAGCATGGCATAGCTGATATGATGGTTGCTTTTAATGTATCAACTTAACTGGGCTAAGAGTTGCCCAGACAACAGGCAAAACATTATTTATGGTTATGTTTGTAAGAATGTTTATGGGGAAAAGATTAGCATTTAAGTCAACAAACTGAGTAAAAAAGATCAGCCCTCACCAATGTGGGTGGGTAACATCCAATCCATTGAGGGCCTGATAAAACAAAAAGGCAAAGGAAGGGTAAATTCTCTTTTCTTTTCTTTTTTCTTTTTTGAGTTGGAGTCTCACCCTGTCTCCCAGGCTGGAGTGCAGTGGCACATTTATGGCTAGCACAGCCTTGACCTGCTGGGCTCAGTCTTCCAAGTAGCTAGAACTACAGGCTCACGCCACCATGTCCAGCTAATTTTTGATTTATTGTAGAGACGAGGTCTCACCAAGTTGCCTGGACTGGTCTCGAACCTGCAGGCTCAGGCAATCCACTTGCCTCGGCCTCCCAAAGTGCTGGGATTACAGGCTGAGCCACTGAGCCCAGTCTATCTTTTCTTGAGCTGAGACATTCATCCTCTCCTGCCTTTTGACATTGGAGCGCCTGGCTTTCAGGCATTTGGACTCTGGGATGTATGCTAACCTTCCCCTTTTCCTCAACCCTGGCCTTCATATTTGGACTGATTTATATCCTGGCTCTCTAGCTTGCAAATCATGGAACTTCTCAGCCTTCATAATCACATCAGCCAATCCTCATAATACATCTCTTCATATAATTGTATATCCCATTGGCTCAGTTTCTCTGGAGGATGCTGACAAATACAAACGGCTTCTTTGCTCAGTGTCTCGCAAAGCTGAAATCAAGGTATTATTTGAGTTGTGTCCTAATTTAGGGGCTCTACTAGATAAAGATATGCTTCTGGGCTCCCTCAGATTGCTAGCAGAAATAATTTCCTCGCAGTTGTAGGTCTGAGGCCCTTGTTGTTTCGCTGGTTACAGGCCAAAAACCACTCTCAGTTCCCAGAAGCTGCTCTCAAGTCCTTGCCAAATAGTGGCCTCATCAGCCCTCCCACATTTGGATCTCTGACTTCAGGAAGGAAGAGTCCAGGGCTTTTTAAAGTCTCACCTAATTAGGTCAGGTCCACCCAGGAAAATCTTCATTTTTATGAACTAAAGTCAACTGATTTGAATCAAATATGAGAATAACATCTTCTCAAATCACTAGCTCCCCCTACACGTGTGCAAAGAGAGAGGTGTGAACAGGACATAATACCAGAGGGCAGAGACAATGGAGGCTATATTGGAATTCTGTTTACAATAGTTATAAACATTTTGCTAGGTCCTAGAGCTAATGCCAGAAGACTTGGAAAAAACCATTGTTAGGATTGTTTTCAAATAAATGGGAAACATCGTTGTAATTTGTGGAACATCAACAACAAATGTTAGGAAAAAAATTTAATAATAGGATGGGCAATAACTGTCCTGAGGATAGGCAGTCTAAGGGTGTCTTTCTCATGAGCTCAGTGAAGAAGCATTAAGAATTGATTTCCGATAAAAGATGGAGAGACCGAGAATGGCAGATGCAACCACTGCTGACTGAGGGATAATTACCCGTTTATTCATTGAAGTGGAAGGTGCCAAACAGGGTATGTTTAACTCTGGGAAAAGGGAGAACGCGTTTGGGAAAATTTCACCACCTCTCCATCTCGTTGTAAATTCCAGCAGGGGAAGGAAGGCTGTGTCTGAGACTCCACTCTTTCCCCAGTACCTAGCATAGCAGAATACCTACTCTGCACATATTTGTCAAGTAAGTGTTCAATGCATGCAGAAAGAGCGCATTGAGACATTATTTCTGCTCCAATTGCTTTATTATTTTGCTGAAATGTTTCCACCAAATCTGGGTTCTCACTGAGGAGTGGTGTGTTCACTTAACCTGTTTTCATTTTTTTTTCATCATTCTTATAAATGAAAGGATTTATCTTACATCTCAAAGATTAACGTCCTCTCCCTATATAACAATGTCATCTGCCTGATTGGGCTTTTATTCTTTCTCCTTCCAGTTTCTCTCTTCCTAGTTTTCTGGAATCTGCACTAGGCACTGCGATTCTCTGGAGTCCAGCCGCTGACTGCATTGATTTGTGTAATCGGAAAAGCAACTCCAAGTTCTGTCTACAGCAGTCTTTCTGCGGTTTAAGCCTAGAGCGCCGGGTACCTTTCTGCAATAACTGAAGCGGGTTCCCGCCCCCTCGGATCTCATCACTCCTGGACCCTCCGAGTAATTCGCTCACCTCGCTCAGACTCCGCAGCGGGTTCCCAGAGGCCCCCCACATGTCCGCTGTACGGTAGATCTCTGCCAAGATGGCCGCGCCCACGAGCCATTACCCAAGGGCGCCGCCATCGCAGCTGAGGGACCCGCTGAGGCCGCGCTCCGGGTAGCCGCCATGTCGGTCTCCAGCTGCGATCAGTTTCCGACAAAGCCACAAACCATGGATCCGAGAAGTGCGGGAACAGGCGAAGAGGCCGAACGACCACCGGAGATGGCTGTGTCCGAGGACCGGGCCAGCGCTGCGGTGAGGGCTATGCTGGGGCGGGGCCGTTCCGTTTGGCGGTCAGAAATGGTCTAATTGGGGGACTGTGATTGGAGGGTTATCGTAGTCTGTGACTATAGGTGTTTATGGAATTGGGGGAATCGATGCTAAAGGGTCTTTTAGGAGGTCGGTGTTCTGAGAGGTCTGTGGAGGTAGTGATGTGAGGGTCCGAGGGGTTAGCGATTTAGTTTTAGGAAATCGGTGTTTTGAGAGATCTGCAGACAATGATGGGAGACATCTGTGGCAGTCACTGAAAGTTAGGGTTTGAAAGGCTGTGGGGATCCGAAATGGGGTTTTGTGATGTGTCAGAGATTGGGAAGGTCTGTGCGAGTCAGCGATTTGGGATGTCCATGGGAACCAGTGACTGTGGGTGCCTGTGGTGTTTAGAAACTGGCTTTTCAAAGAGGGTCAGATTTGGGGAGTTCAGTGATTGCGAGTATCAGAGATTGGGGCCCGTGGGTCAGTGATGGTGATGTTTGTGGAAGTTTGATTAACAGTATCTTTGAGAATGAGTGATACGTGTGCTATGGTGGGTAATGGAGGAATGTGGGGGTTAGTGGGGGGATAGTGATTGGTGGAGTGTGGAGAGTCCATGTTGAGATGTCTCAGAGAGGGTGGTAGATGATTTGTGTGTCATCTGGGGAGGAAAGGTAATTGGAGATTTATGCAGATCTATGATTAGGTGGTGTCTAGTCATAACTCTGCTTTTGGTGATGAGGCTGATTAGTAGGAATTGATAATTAAAGGACCTCTATGATTCTGTGACTAGGAGCCTGAGGGGATTGGAAGTTTGGGGGAGATTTAGTGATTTAGAGTTTTGTAGGGGTCAGTGATTGGAGGTCTGTGGAGGTTAATGATTGCTCTATGGAGAATAGCAGTTGGGAACTTGTAGGGTTCCATAGTTGGGGGAAGTTTGTGAAGCTTTGTGATTGAGGAGTATTTGGGTGTCACTGGTTGGAAAATTGTGGGAACAGACTGTAAGATGAGCACCTGTTTTATGCCAGGGAGTTTTAAATGCTGGGGAGATATCGGGAAACAGAACCAGAACCCGTCTCATTTTTGAAATAGGAAAGACAATAAAAATAGAAACAAAATTATTCCAGTCACATTAAGTGCTATGAAGAAGGTAAAAGAGGATAACATGATAGAGTGCTTGACTTAGGCCAGATGAGTCATGAAACTCCTTTCTGAAAGAATGACAGTTGAGTTGAGACATATGATAAAGAGGCAGGCATGCAAAGATCTGAAGAAAGAATATTCTAGGAAGAAGGAACATCAGTTGTAAAGGACCTGAGCTGAGGTAGGAGTGAACTTAGTGTGCTTAAAAAACAGAAGGAAGATTAGTGTGACTGAAGTGTTGTCAGAGGGAAAGTAGAAAGATGTGAAATTAGAGTGGTAGGAAGGCATCAGATCATGCAGAATCTTTTTAGCTAGGGTAAGGATTTGGATTTTATTCTAGTTGCAGTGAGAAAGCATTGAGTTTAAGTGGGAAGTGATCTGATCTAGTTGATACTTTATTTTTTGAGTTAGATTCTCACTCTGCCACCCAGGCTGGAGTGCAGTGGCATGTTCACGGCCACCACAGCCTTGACTTGCTGGGTTCAGGTGATCCTTTTGCCTCAGCCTTCCAAGTAGCTGGAATCACAGGCATGTGCCACCATGTCTGGCTAATTTTTTGATTTATTATAGAGATGCGGTCTCACCATGTTGCTCAGGCTCATCTCGAACCCCTGAGCTCAGTCAATTCTCTTGCCTCCACCTCCCAAAGGCTGGGATTACAGACTACAATCATCATGCCCAGCTGGCCGATACTTTAAAAATCACCATGGCTACTTCATGAAAGATGGACTGCAGAGGAGCAAAAGTAGGTGCAAGAAGGTCAGTTAGGAATTTACTGTCCTAATCAAAAGCAAGAGATGATGATTATGAGTAGGTTTGTAGTAGTTAAATTAAAAGAAATCAAATTCAGAGTATATCTGGGAATGAGTCAATAGGACCTACTGATGACTTGATATGAGAGAAGGGAAAAATTGAGATTTACATCTAGACTTTTGACCTGATGAACTGAACAGATGGTGTTTCCATTTTCTGAGAAAGGGTTGTGTTGGAGAAGATCAGATTTGGTAGATGGAAATGGGATTCAGGGTGGATGACAGCGGTTCTATTTTGGCTGTATCAAGATGTCCGTTATACATCAAACTAGAGATATTGAGTAGCCATTATATATATTAGTCTGGAACTTAGGAGATTTCTGGGCTAGAGAACCATATTTGAAAGGCATCAGATTAAAGATGGTATGTAAAGCTATAAGATTGGTGGGATCACCTAGGCAGAAAAGGCAGATGGGGAAGAGGGCCAAGGATGATGTGGGGTCTGAGCGTTTGATTCACGGCACCGACACACAGTTTACCAAGAGAGAAGTTTATTAGCCAGGTTCGACGGGCCAGGGCCACCCACCAGACTCGCAGGTCTCAAAGTGAGGGCCCCACACTGCAGCAGGGGCCTTTCTTAAATAGGCAAAAGCCCACCCAATCCACAAGGCCATTATAATTCAAATTCGAGCAACACAAAGCCCGCCAGAAGAGGGGCTTGCCCGCCACAATTCAAACAGAGAAAAGCCCGCCAGAATTTGAAAGGGGCTTATCGCACAACACTTACACACTGCCAGCGGAGGTTACAGAAGCAGAAAAAGCTGGTTAACTTATCTAACATAGCCACTTGGGGTTTCCAATAGGGCGTTCTTTCCAGGGTTTCCAAGAATTACTACGTTTTAGGGGAGAGGTCACAGCACACAGTTTCAGCATACTTAATATATGAGGTTATAGTTTCATTACATTTCACATAATTCATCACACTTAATATATAAGGCTTCACACCTTATAAATTGTCCACACAATTTATCACCTCTTACATTTCCCCCCTTTGAGTTGTTCCTAGAGTTAAATCGTTGACTCTTTGTATAGGGGCCTGGCTTGGGTTCTTAGTATCATTAAGTTTGTGGGAGTTAACCTGTGCTTTATGTAATTTAGAAGGCTTTTAATCATGCACTGCCCTACGGCACATATTAGAACTAAGAGCAGAGGTCCTGTGATGGCTGAGACCAAGGTTGTGAGCCAGGGAGACCAGGAAAATAAGGATTGATACCAGTTTTCTGAGGCCTGTATTTTTGACTCTCTACGTTTAATACTTTCTCTGACTAGGGCAAGAGTTTCTCGAATTATTCCTGATTTGTTGGCATAAAAGCAATAGGTCCCCCTAGTGCCGTGCATAGTCCTCCTTCTTTCATCAAGAGGAGGTCCAGCCCCCTTCTATTTTGGAGCACTACTTCAGCCAACGATCTACCTGTTGTTCTAGCTGGGATATGCTAGTTTCAAGATTTTGGAGATCCCTGTTAACATGTATGCTTAGTTCTCTAAGATTTTGGCTTCCTACAGTTAGGGCTGCTGCACCTAAAGCGGTTGATCCTGCAATCCCTAACCTTACAAGGAGGGGCACCAAGACGGGGACTCGTTTAGTCCGGGTAGCAGTTAGGAGTTCAAGTGGCTCCTGCCCTGCAGGCCCTTCAACAATATATACCTGGGGTAATATGTGTTCTAGAACGCAAAGTTCTGAACTGTCTTGGAGGAGCTCCATGGCAACACATGGAGTTATGCCTCATGTGCAGGTAAACCAGGTAGTGGGGGGTCCAACAGCTGTATAGAGGCTCCCAGGAGTGCTAAACTGGGAGACATTTATTCTAGTAGAGGCCATGCAGGCTTCTCGGTATGGGGAGCTTTCTGTATTATAGGATGAAGTATGGAGGCAGGTTCCTTGGCCTTGGAGATCTCCTAAGGTGAGGGCCAGATCTTCACCCCGAGGACATAATCCCCAAAACTGGGCAGTGGTATAGTTGAGAATGCATGTGTGCTTCTCAGTATTACCTATTGAGGAATTGACAGCTAATCCTACATAATATGGGGGATGGGGGTCTAGGCATAACCAACAGTCCCTTGCCAAGTTAGGGCGTGTAGCGTTAGCAAGCTGGTGAACTGCTGACAACATGGGAAGGAAGTGACTTACACTTCCGGGTAGGACAATGAGGAGAGCAACATTTGGCTTTCTAGGTTTTGGAGTAATTATAGCTACCTGGGTAGAATTGGCTGACTCGGATTTTTTCTGAGTGGGTTCAGGAGCCCGTGGCATTGGCAGGAAGAAATTATGGTTAGGACCCACGGGGGTATTGACATGGGGTATAACCTTTTTCTGTATAGTGAATTTTATTCTGGGATCCGCTGCTGAGGTATCCAATCTGAATCCCCATGTTTTCCCTGACTGCCATTTGTCCCATTGCAGAACAGTAATTTTTAGTGGATTGCAAGTTCTAATTTGCTTGCAAGGGGAAACAGGCTTCTGTTTATGAAGGATTATGTAGGGGTCCTTATTAGTTCCCCAGATGGCTATAGTTACACAGCCCCATGACGCACAGTGGAACTGCTGCGATTGGTGGCAGCAGTTGGGGCCAGCAGCCGGGCAGGCATAGAAGTTCCACTTTGTAAGCTGTTTTTCTGCTTCTAAATTGTTAGCACTACATCCCCATGTTACACTAGGCCACAATTCACAAAGGTCAAAGTTAAAGACTGGTTGCCCATTTCCATTATAAGAAGAGATTACAGTTCTAGTTTCAGCATTTGTTAGGTCCCAATAATATTTTCCTGGGACATAGTGATGAGCTTTCCTAATGGGGAAGGTTTAAAAGAATAAAGAAGGGCTATGGGCCCCCCCCTGAGAGGGCGGGACACAGTTTGCCTCCAGTTACACAAATGGACCTAGAGAATCGGA